ACCTGGTTTTTTAACCTAAGTCACTCTAACGGAATCGCTAAAACATAGAGCATAGTCTGATGAAAAAAGACGCTAAAGTTTATGAAAACAAATTTTTATCGTCAAAATGCTTGTTTTATGAAGAGGATAGACTAAATTTTTTTAATTATTTTTCAAGTTTTTCCATCTTTTAGAATATTCTAAATTTTGATTTAAAAAACCTTGTTTCTCTTTGTCGCAACAAGGGGTAGTAAATAACAGATAATTTTTAGCGCGTTTTTTTGTATTTACACAAATTATTAATTAATAAATCTTGCATAGTCTTTTATCTAGCCATAGTCTTTTATCTCTGTCTCTCACTTTTACTAGTTTAAATAATAGAACATACTTTTTATTATATATAATAATAGAGGCTTGCATTGTACTTCAACAGATAAAACATTTTGTTGTATATGATAAGCTAAGTTAGCATGGAATGCTAATGAATGTCAGACTTTTGTATTTTTATTGCTCTTATTAATTTTTACACAACAATGAATATCATAGCATTATTTTGCATATATTTTTTTGAATCATTACATCCTAAGCAAGGTAATAAAGGCACTAAGACACACGGGGTTACTAAGTTAGAAAGAATCTGTGAGAAAAAACATTAAGGAGAGAAGCAAATAAAAGGACAGGAATTAAGGAAACAAAAAATGATGAGTGACTTTGCGTTTAATCTTTTGAAGATCAAAATTGATGGGAAAGCAAGAAGCTAGAAGAGAGTTCCACAAGTGAGAAGTACAAAAAAAGAAACTAAAAACTGGTTACATCTAGCAATTTCAACTATAAAATAATGAGGCCTGAAGTCATTGTACCAAAGAGAAAAGCTCATCAGAACAATTACCATGAAAATATTTATAGAAAAAGAACAGGGAAGTGGTAGGAAAGTGACTAAAGTCCAGATGCCAGGTCAGGACTGATAACATTACAGATTCTTCTTTGAATTTTATCAAGAATCTCTAAATACATAACAGAAGCACTAGACCAGATGTGGCGGTAATATTCAATGCATGGATGAATGGTAAACTTAAAGATGTAAGATAGATTGTGGTGAGAAAAATTGTTCAGTATGATACAGTGAACCAACTTTCTTAGCAGCAGACCTAGCAATTGATTCAATTGTTCCACTTCATATCAGGGCAAAATGTTAACCAAAGCAGGCACAATGAGTTACTCAGTTACTCCCCTAGAGGTTAGCATCAACCAAAAGAGGTTTTCTAAGGGGATTAAAGAGACCAGTCATATTTTTAGGCATTAAAATTAACAAGACATTTCTTATCCCAGTTAACAGATTGAAGGTAATTTTTTTAAATAAGCTGCCAATTTGTCTTTGTCAAACCAAACAGACTTACCATTAAGATAGGAGTAAATAGTTATGCCACCAGCATAGATATGAAGTCAAAAACTGAAAGATTGTTGATGAAAATTAAGAACAAAGTAGGTCCAAGAAGGGACACCCACATTAATGTAAAAAGATCTACAAGAGTGGCCATTCAAAACAACTTTTATTTCATGATTTGGTAAGAAAAATTGAATCAAGTCAAAAATTTGTCCAGAAATACCATAACCTCTCAACTTGTGAAGATCAGAATGCCAAACCTTGTCAAATACTCTCGAGATGTCCAAGACAATAGCAATAGCGTCACCCTTCTTATCTAAAGCTTGACAAACTCTTTCAGCAATAACTGTTAACACATCAGCAGTTGGACCTAGAGAAGCAAATATTATACAATATACAATGACTTTTATCAGTCACATAATTGTTGCATGGGACTGCTGCTGACTGTTGTTGGCTTTGTCTCGATGGTCAAATAAAGGTGTTTACTAATAATCTCCTTTAGGGCAAAAGGAAAGTGATATTTCATCTGAGAAAAAATAAGTGAATGGTCCTTTGCATGTCGAAAACGAAGAATGAACAACATCATCAACTGAATACAATTTAATATTAACAATGGTAACAATTAAGTAAAAGAGAAAAGTTGTTCTTAGAAGTATGTGAAAGAGTTTGTTGAAAGTATAGAGAAATAAAGTTTGAAAAAAGATATATGCATGTATGTATGCATGTGTGAATGTGTTTAATCTATGTAGGTATGAAGATATATATATATATATATATATATATATATATGTGTGTGTGTGTGTGTGTGTATGCATACATATTTATAGATATAAGTAATTCACTTATCTTGTTTAGGTTGATCTTTCTGTATGGTGTGAGTGCCCAAATGCGAACGCATTTTTCGACATGGTGTGAGTAAGTGTGTGCATGCAGCTTTTGGTAGATTCCTATATAGGCCAGAGATAGGCTTCAAATGAAAGCACAATTTTTTTTTTTATTGTGTTCCCATTAGTTGAGAAGAATGATGTGGCATGCTTATTATGCCATCCATGTGGGGGTAAAACCAAGCCTGCTTTTACATGTCTATTTTTAGACTTGATAAAATTGTAATTATAGAAGATATAATGCATTTTTATTTATTTCCAAAATCCCAACTATATATATATATATATATATATGTTGATTACTGATTTATTATATAGCAGTTTGTACAGCTGAAAAATGTGTGTATGTGTATTGCGCTGTATGTTAAATGATTGTGCATGTGTTCTATTATGTTTAATGTTACTGTGTGTGATCTATTAGGCTAAACGATTCTGTACTGGTTCTCTTAGGCTAAACAATTCTGTTCATTCTAAACATCATCTATGGGGCTAAATGATTCTATATGCCCTAAACAATTTTGTACTGATTCTATTAGGCTAAATGATTTTGTATGTCTCCTATTAAGCTAAACAATTTTCTACATCTTCTATTAGGCTAAATGATTGTGTATGTGTTCTATTAGGCTAAATGGTTTGGTTTGGCTTGGTTTGTTTTATGGCATTCAATGGGTTATTTAATGCTGACAAGATTTTTATTACTGGTAATATTTTTTTTTGGACAAAGTATTTCTGGTAATATTTTTTCCAAAAATGTATTGCTGGTAACAATTTTTTCTTCAAAAATTTATTGCTGGTAATAATTTTTACAAAAATTTATTGCTGGTATTAAAACCTATATTTACACTTTCATAGTGTTTTGACCACAGTTTGGGGTTAAATATTTGCCCATAGCTCTGATCCTAACAGGTGCTTCCACCCCAGGTCAGGGTGGACATGGAAACACCAGCAATTAAGAGGTGATTCCATACTCCTCAAAACCTTCTGATCAGAGGTCGGTCTTGCTGCCAGATGTAGTTTATTGCCTTACCTAGGACACGGATATAGTTTATCCTGGACAATTAGGATAAATGATTGTGTATGTCTTTCATTATGTTTCAGGTTGACCTCATATGATTATAAATATGAAAGATTTTCCAATATCATTTAAAAAAAAAATATAATAAAAATAAATACAACAAAATTAAATTTTTATTAAATAATCAACAAATAAAAGAAAAAATAATTTAAAAAAATTATTATAAAAAAAAACTATACAATTGTCTATCATTAAACTAACCTGGTAATTTCATGTTGGACAACAAAATTAAACCCAAACTAATATATACTTATATTATTTAAAGAAAAGCATCTGTTGAGTGCTACATGAAAGTGCTTCTATGTGCCATGTCCCTTGAGGATGTTGGCGATCATGGCTCTCCACAATTTCTTGTTTTTTGTAGCTCTTAGTAAATTTTGTTTTTTGTTAATTTTCCTAAATCTTCTTCCACCATCCATTTACACAAACAAGCTTATTAGGTAGGTTATATGCTGTTTTTCTCTGTCCATCTTGCCTTCAACATGTCCTGTGAGTATCAAATTTTCAAAACCCTCTTTGCCTTAGAAATTTCAACTCATTCTGATGTTAAGTATAAGTGTCATTTTTGTTTCCATTTCACATTGTTGTTTCTCATATGTTCAGTCCATGGTATTCTCAGCATCCTTCTGTAGAACTACATTTATATTGCCTCAAGTTGAGGAGATTGTCCAGTATTCACTGCTATATAGGAGGACAGATCACATTATGTACTTTGCAGATATTATCAAAAATAATATTGTAAAATTGCTTATCATAATTTATAATACTATTATAGAAATTTATTTGTATGCTTTTCAGCTTTGAAGCACTTATTGAAATAATGCTTTAAAAGAAATTGCAAGCATATTCTGAGTTTGAGTACTCAAGGGAAGTAACTTATGCTTCTTTAAAAATTTATTTAATAATGACCAATTCACTGTAGGGATTGTTTTCAATAAATGCTATTATTACAGAAAAAGGAAAAATTTTAAAAGTATCTTAGAAAGCTCCACTTAGAAATCACTAGTATGAGATAAAGTTTTGATCATTTGTTGCAAAACAATTATTTTTTTTTTTTTATTCAAGAATGTTAGCCAAAATCATTATCAAAAAGGCAAAATAGACAAATATAATAAAAATGGTCATTATTTTTATTAGTGAAACGATTTAATAATTATAGAGGTATATTTGATAAAATGTTTATTAGCATTTAAATATAAATATTTGTTAATTCAATACTTATGTATGTTATATAACATTTTTATGATACTTAGCATCTATTATCAGTCAAGATGTAATGTTCAGTTCAAAATATGGATAACACAAGAGATAATCATTAATATTTCTTTCAAGGAACTATTCAAAAATTATTAATTTCTTTATCTGAAAAACATGGACAAGAGATGATACTGTAATTTTTCCATTAAATATCCCACAAATGTTTTTAATTTCTTTAAATAAAATCAATCAATCAGTAATGTATAAGATAGATTTGCAACCTTACCCCACAATATTTTTATATTAAAAAAATAAGAAACAGAAAAACTGATGATCAAATTGGTAATTTTACTGGAAGCAAAACCATCTTTTTATATTCTACAGAAAAATTAAAAATAAAACATTTTTTCCAACAACCAAAGCAAAGATAATCTGAAAAAAAATTAGTTGCAATGAATTTAATGCAAAAGGTGAAACTTACCCGCAGATTATCTGTTAATTGTTTTATTTTGCTAACACGTTCTTTGTCATCAATGATTTCCAGTACTAAATTATCTCCCTGTAGAAGAAGGGAAATGATTTCTGGTTGTAACTTATTGAGTTCTTCATCAATTTCCTTGAAGTAAAAAGAAAATTTAAAACTATCATCAGCACTGAATGAATACAAAGAAAATTATGTAAATTTTGAAAAATAGAAAATTGAGAAAGATTGCATACCTATTTCTAATTGGCAAAATCAAGTTTAATATCTGCAGTTCATATCCATTAAGAACAATATCAAGTTCGCAACAAAGAGGAAAAAGTATCGTTCAGTCCTGAAGTTGAAAAATCTATAATAACACAATATAACTATCACTATACATGCAAATTTTATTAATATGTTTTAGAAAATATTTTAATAGTAGAGTTATGAAGATCATAATGGATTGGTGTTCTCTCATGGAAGAGATATCAGGTTAAATTTTGTGACAAGGAAAGTTTGAACATAAAAACCCAAACATCCTTCAAGTTTACTCGAAAAGAATCAATCATCTTTAAATTGTATAATTTTTTAACATGAAAACTTTTAAATTACAAATATAGCTTAAAAGTAAAGGTTTCCTCTAGAGTTGAAAGACTTCATCTCTAATTTTCATTTACTGAGATATATTACTTTCACTCTGAAGAATAAAAATAACTTTAGGTAAAATCAGTAACCAGTTTTAAAGTTCTAATTTTCTATTTAAAATGTATAATTTTTCTTTTTACTAATGTTCATCCAATACAATACCCAAACCATTCAAGATAGAGGGTTACTGTGTGCTGTTGTATGAGTAGAAGAAAAGCAAGAGGTGTACTTCATGAGGCTATGTAGGAAAGATAACGGACAACCTTAGACTTGAGGAGGTCAAGATTGTAGTGAGTGAGAAATCATCCTGTGAAGAGTCTGTTCCACAAATCAGCCTCCTTTCCTTTCATATTTCTATTAAAGGAATACAAAAGGAAATGAGGCTGATTCATGTGTATGTGGAGTTGTGGGTCCCAGCTGCAAAGCTGGTGGAACTGAGGAATGTAGCTTGTCAGAACACTTGCCAAAGAAGTGGAATAGTGAAAGTCTAGCAATGTTTGTCTGTGGGAGAGGGATTATAAGATGGAAAATCATTCATCAGCCCCAAAGCCTTAGTTTCTCCAGACATTAATCCAACAAAAAAACATGTGACCCATCATTAAACAATGTTTGACAGTACACATGATGTCAACAAAGACTATTTCCAACTTTCAGTTTTCTAAAGATTACTAGGATGAAGGAAAAGGAATTGTGCCTACCACACAGACACTGAGCAACTTTTTTCCCAATAAGCATATATATATATATATATATATATATATATATATATATATATATATATATATATAGTAGGATGTAGAATAGTATCCAAAACAAAAGAGGGACAAAGTGGAAAATTTTTTTGTCATATAACAGTTTTGTCAAAGTTTGACATCTTCAGGTCAGAATAAAATACAAATCTGTGTTTAAGGAAAATGCATTGAAATTTTTGAGGTTAATAGGGGCAATAAATTAAATTATCTTATCAGATCTAATGACAAGAGATCAGAAAGTTCAAGAACATATTATCACTGAGACATAAAAATTCAATAAATCCATCAAAAAGTTAATTTCCAATAAAGAGAAATCATGGGTAAAACTGATAGAATGCCACTTAACCATACCCAAGTTTTACACCATAACCAAAATGCACAAACTAGGTTCCCCATAGTATCTGGGATTAACAGTGTGTTCCATAAATTAGCAAAAGCTATAGCAAAAATCTTTACTCTCTACCTTGGAACAATCAGCTCAGCAGACATAAAAATTTCTGGCAATCTCATCAATAGATTAAAATACTTGAATATGACAAATAAAAATATGACTAGCTTAGATATCAAGTCTCTATATACAAATACATAAGATTTTTACAAAGTCCTTTCAAAAAGTCAAAAATCAACCTTCTACTACCAACAGATAAAATTATAAAAATATGTTGTCTCATTACAAACCAATGTTATTTCGGTTTCAATGGCAATTTTTATAATCAAAAATTTGGATTACTGATGGGTGTGCCATTCAGTAGAGTACTGTCATGCCTCTTCCAAGAATCTTTAGAATCCAGCCCTTTCATTTTATTCTTCCACAAGACACAGCATGCATTGTTAATGCCCTATTAATATACCTACACAATACATCGCTACCAAAACTTGTCAATAGATTAAACAGGATAGATCACACAATAAATTTCACTTATGAAACACAATCAAACCATACTTTATCATTTCTCAACATGTTAATATGTACACATAAGGATATACAACTTTGAAAATCCACAAATAAGAATGACCTTATACCTTTCTATTATACCTAAATTATTTCCTGTACAATGCCAAACAATAAGTCTACAAAATACACAAAGAAAAATCCACAGAATAATAATATTCAACATATCCCAACAGCCATGACAAAAGTAAGCCAATAATCCTACATACCAACTCTTATAACTGCCACCATCGGAAATAACTTATCCAACATTAATCTAAAATTCATCAAGCAGAAATATACAAAATAGATTGTACAAAATGCTCAATGGTGTACACCAATGAAACATCTAGAAACCTATAAAAAAAAAAAAAAAAAAAAAAAACATGAACATCACAAAGATATGCTGCATAACAAAACTTTAAATGGTAGTTGACCATAATAGATCTGTCTGCAATATCATCTAAATAAATGCCAGTCTGATGAGAAGAGAAAAGGATTCACTAAGGAAATGCATTGATGAAAGTCTGCTAATCTCATAATTTTCCACAATAAACCTAAATACCTGGATCATACATAATATTACCAATCATTGCAAAAGCAATAATAGCACTATGCAGCATACAAGCTAATAGAGAAAAAAAAACAAAGATCAACTTGGAGTAGGTTGATGTAAAATCCAACAGGCACCAAAAGTTAACTGGTTGTTGTATCTGATAAGGTAATTTAATCTAATGCCCCACTTATCCTCAAAAAATCCCAACACATTTTCCTTACACACAGTTTTGTTTTTCATTCAAGCCTGAAGATACCAAAACTAATACACAATGGCAAAATGTGTTATTTAAAGAATAGGTCTTCCACTCTGTCCCATTATCTTCACACACACACACACACACTTATATATATATATATATATATATATATATATATGGGAAAACAAATATTTGTACACATAGAAATTTTTAATTTATTGTATTTCCAACTAATGAATAAACATACTTTTCATATAATTAACTGTACACAGATGCATAATAACTAAATATGCATAGACAGCATTAAAAAATGTGATTTAATAGAAATAAATCCAATTTATCCACTTTAATTAAAAATTAATTATTCGTACTATGCAAATTTCAGATTTTGAAACTTTTAAATTGCTTTAATACTCTAGATTATTCAAGTGGAATATTCTAGAATGTTTCAATAATGTTATCAGTAGTTATTTTTAGCCTAAAAAATACAAACAATATTCTGTAATTGATATTTGTACAAGAAGGTTATCATCAGGGAAAAAGGTAAAGAATTGACAAATTTGCAAAAGGAACTGATTGTTAACTTCTGGAAAGAAGGTAAGTTACAGGAAAATCTCAGACAATCTTTTTCATATTTCATTTACTATCATTAGTTCGTTCATTGCAAGGTATAAAAGACTCAAAACTGTTGAAAACCAAAGAAGAACAGGTGCTCCATGGAAGATTTCTTTGAGATGTTTGAGGAAATTAATGTGTCAAATTAAACAAAATACAATGGTTACTTGTCAAGAGTTGCAGGATGATTTACTTTCATCAGGAATCTGTATCACTAAACAGACAAAAATCAATGAAATTCATGGGAACAATCTAAAGTCATGCTCCACTCAGAAAACTCTATTGATATAGAAAAGACAAAGAGATGCCAGCTTGAAATTTGTTCGTGACCATAAGGGTAAGGAAAAATCATATTAAGAAAGAGTATTATGGACAGATGAAACCAAAATTGAGTTATTTGGATGTAATTCTAAAAGTCAGGTATGGCGGAAAGATGGTGATGCTCTCAAGCAAAAGAACACAGTTCTAAGAGTGAAATTTGCTTGTGGCAGCATCATGATTTGGGGAGGTTTTTCTGCAAAAGGTACTGGCAACATATCAGTAATATATGGTAGAATGAATGCCGCAGCATATCAAAATATTTTTGAAACAAATTTTATGACTTTGGTTGAAAATCTTGAACTTCCTCCTGATTGGATTTTCCAACAAGATAAAATCTACAAAGAAATGGCTTGCTGAAAATAATGTAAATATCCTGAAATGACCAAGTCAGTCCCCAGATTTAAACCCAGTCGACAATCTGTAGTGTTATTTGAAATCCAATCAAGAGCTCCAACAAACATCCCAGATCTGAAGACCATATATGAAAAAGAATGGAACAAAATGCTAAGATTTGCAAGTCATTAATTGAGAACTACAAGAAGTTTGCTGCTGTAGAAGTGAATAATGGCTATTCTATAAAGAATTAAATGAAGATTATGTATTCATTTTTGCATTGTACAAATACTTTTTTCACCCATTAAAATGGATAAATAGGATTTATTTCTGATAAATCAATTTTTTTTTCTGTTTTCATTGTATATTTAGTTATTATGCATCTGTGTATTATAGTTGATTATATGAAAAGTATGTTTATTCATTAGTTGGAAATACAATTACAAATTTGTTGTCCCCCCCCCCACCGTATATGTGTGTGTGTGTGTGTGTGTGTGTGTGTGTGTGTCTGTATGTACATATCAGAATAGAAAACAACATTCAAAAACCTTTAGGAAGCCATGAAATCTACTATAATTTAGTATTAATTAACATCAAGTTGAAACAGGAGACAAGTTAACAAAATCAATGAATAAAAGATGTTTATAAAATGTCAAGGAGCCCATATTAATAAGTAAACTAATAAAATAATTTATTCAATCAGGTATATAGGATATTGTGTAAATCAAATATACATTTCTATAGATTTATTTATAGATAAAAATGCATGCTGCACTTTGCATGATAAAACCATATTCCCCT